TTTGTTTTTATTGTTAATGCTTTGAATTATTAGAAATTATTAGATTATTAAATTATTATTTTCTTTTCCTGCTTGTGTCACAGTGGATATCACAGTGGATATTTATCTTTTTAAGGCAAAAGAATATTTAAATTTATGTTAGCAAAAGTATTTCTGGAGAAACCACATAACAAGTGATCTTGAATGTGGGGTAGAATAACAATAGAGTGTTAGAAGCAGATTTGACCTCCACTACTCTGCGTATGTGTGATAAAAAATGAGGAGAAAAGATGTAAGCTTTCATTACACTCTATGAAAAAATAAAAAAGGTGACCCATTACCCTCCACTTTGAATTTCCATAGTTAAAATACATTTCATTATAATTTTCCAAACTAAATGCGCAACTCTCAATGTTAGTTAAATTGTATTTTGAATCCCCAAAGGTCCTAAGCTCATAAGCATAATCTAAAATGTAAGTTGAATGTCAAGTGAGCTTCTTGTTCATTTTAGATTCATAAATTAGAATTTAAATGTGATTTAACATGTATGTGAGTGGGTCCCTGAATACGACACCAGCTTTCATTTAAATCATTCTTATCTCATTTTTTTTCATTTTGATCCAAATCCTCTTTGAAGAGTGAAGGGTGTTAAAAATTTCAATACACATTTAATGAAACATGACAACCTGAATTGGTAGAGATTATAATAAGGACAGAATGCCACCACTAAATAATAATTTAACCTCTGTCTCTCAAAAAATTTCCACTCAATGATTGGAAATAATTATTGATAATAAGAAATTAGTTATTTCTTTCAATGGTAATTTATTAAACAAATTAAATAAACATCTGAGATGGAAAACTAACACAATTTCCCTCCTATCTCTTGCCAGTACTGGACAGGATACTACTGATACATTAACTTAGTTATCTGTCTCCCTCTGTAAAGGGCCAGGAAACATATGTGCAATAATGTAACAGTGAGGCTAAAGGCAGGCTTCCCATCCCTCTTTTTCTGCTTACTAGTCATGTGACCTTGAGCACATTATTTAGCCATTCTTATTCTTTGCATCAAGGTCTCAATGTATAAATCAGTGATTAAATCATAGGGTGAATGTCAGAATATATGTAATATATGTAACTTTTTTATAAGTGTGCTTGGATAATACTAGGAGTTCAACACATATCAAAATCATTCTTAGATCATTTGCTCAGCCTGTCAGTAAAGTAGCATAGCTGAAATTCAAATACGTATTTGCTTGAATTTGAAACTAAGTTCTTGAACCCCAAAAAAGTCCTTTTATTTTTATTAAATATATTTTATCCATATGGATAAATCAATGAAAAAATTAGTTAGGATTCAGAAAAAGTTTGTTAGACTTCTGGTTTTTTACATTAAATTCAACAACAACTTACAATGGATAATGGTTCGTGTCATTTCATATACTGTTGCATTGTGGTCATTACTGTTATAGTTTATACTTTACAGAGAGGAAAGAGACTTACAAAAATTAGTGTCACTGTCCAAAGTGTCACAGTAATCAACACACTGGGCACCCAGACTGAAACACAGGCTTCTGACCCCAGCCACTCTCAGTGCCTAGTACTCTCCTCACAGCCTCCTCCCACTGACTTGACCTTACCATGGTCCTTACCATGGCCTGAAATGTAAAGGAGCTATTTATTTTATCTCTACCAGCATTCATCCCAGAATCTCCTTAGCAGGACTCTAACAGCCCTGTTGTCAGCTACTACATAAGTGGAACAAGTCGGCCACAGATTCTCTGCATCCTCTCAGTATTTTGCAGTGTGTTAGATTTACTCATATGCTTTTATATGTGATAAATTAGAATGTCTTCTGCATAAGATCACAAACTCTATCTCCAAAGTTCTTGGCACATACTAAACAAATAAAAGACAAAAAAGGGTAGTCTTTTACTAAAAAATAAAAATGACCTATTTTTAAGAAAATTGTTGTCACCACAAATTAGTATGCCCTTTAACAGTGGTTGTTTGAGGATTCACTAAAATGATATAAAAGTTCATTTAGCAGTTGTAGTTATGAATCACAATATCACATAATTTGCATATTTTATGTTACAATAATTGTGGCCAATATCCACATGAGATTCCAGCTCATGGGTATGAGAGATATCAATAGATTCATATCAATCCTTTATTACAGCGATAGCTTCTTTTAAAATAGGAATTCTCTGTCAACAGAGATGATATCAATAAAGCTTCCAAAGAAATTATTTTTTCTGGAAAAAATTATTTTTTAAAAAAAATCTGCAGGGGCTGGTGCTGTGGTGCAGTGGATTAAAGCCCTGGCCTGAAGTGCCAGCATCCCATATGGGCACCGGTTCTAGTCCCGGCTGCTCCTCTTCCATTCCAGCTCTCTGCTATGGCCTGGGAAAGCAGTAGAAGATGGCCCAAGTCCTTGGGCCCCTGCACCCACTTGAGAGACCCAGAGGATGCTCCTGGCTCCTGGCTCCTGGCTTTGGATTGGCACAGCTTCAGCCATCGCGGCCATCTGGGGAGTGAACCAGTGGATGGAAGACCTCTCTTTGTGGCTCTACCTCTCTCTGTAACTCTGTCTTTCAAATAAATAAAATAATTATTAAAAAAAAAATTCTTCACCTAAGGTTCTGTTGACTCCTGCTGTTGAAATAAATTAGACTGGTTACTATTTTTTATTGCAAAACAGAAATAATTCTCAGTCTTGGCTGTAAGTTGCAACTTCATGAGATGGATTTAAAAATTAATATCTTTGCCTGGATCCTGTGTGTGTATTTATTCCATCAGAGGCGCAGTGTAGACATCACCTGTCCTATGTGATTCTAACATGCAGAGTGAAAATCATGGCCCATGTTAGGGTTAGAAGTCATTAGGATAGGAAAGACCATTTTCTTCTCAACACCATTAAGTACTATCTAATCTGTTTTCTTGCCATTACCTTATATGTCTTAAAAGAATCTTTAAAAAGATACTTTTTAAATTAAATTAAACTGCTGTGCAATTTTCTTCTAATACCTTCTCAGGAGACTGGAAAATATCATGAAACTTTCAGTTGAAGAAACTGAAAGAGGTGTTGCCTGAGCAGACCGGTCCTGCTGAGAAATCCGAGTGATCAGAATTCTAGGGATCTGCACCTTCCGCTGATGCATGTTGAAGAAACACAGGGACTCTGGTCTACAAATGCCTCACCAGTACATTCTCCAAGTCTCGTGCCTTTTATATCCATTCTGAAGTGCTTGAAATCTTTGGCATTCTGCCTGGGACCATCAATATCTCTCACCTGAGCAAGGGGATTTTTTTTTTAAATAACCAGTGGAATCTTTCCATTAAATGGAATGACCTTTCCTGTAGGTCAAAGTGTTCCACGCTTCTGGGAAAGTAAATCTCTACTCTTATTTTCATCGGGAATATTGCCGCCTATGAATCCCCATGTAGCACTTCCTCCTCTTGCTCCTTGGAGTGTAATAGATTGGGCCCTTAAATACTCAGTCTGGTCATAACACGCAGATAGAGGTCTCAAACCTGTGCTCCATGTTCTTTGGACAAACTTCAACTTTCCTCTCACACTGAGCACCATAAATCTACTTCCTGCCTCGGCATACAATACGTAGAATATGGAAGCCCATTTTTTTTTCACGTGAGACTGACAACACTTCCGACTCTCCTGCCCAAACATGATCATCTCAAGATTCTCTACATGTGCATTCATCATGAAAAGCTTAAGAAGTAGTGAGTCAAAGGGCAAGTGGCTTAACTGTTTACCATCAATTTTCTTCCATAAATGTTGACACACTACGTACAAAAATAGCAGTAAGTCATTCTCTATAACTTGCATTATGCCTCTTGAGTTCGTTTGCTAAAGAAAACACAGGAACAGACATTTCTCATGAGGAGTGCACGCTTGAAATGTACTTGGCAGGAAGCAAATGAGAAAACAGGAGATAATGACATGTATGCATTGCAACTGTTCACACTAGTGGCATCATTTATATGAACGTTTTACATATTGAAAATTGCAGAGACTCCTGCTGTGCTGTTCCTTTTGGGAAGCAGGCTGGTATGCAGTGTTTAATTAAGTATTTTAAAACCAAGCTTTTGTAGGCCTGTTCCACTTTAGCTAAAGTTATGACAGCTTGTCTCTGTTAGTTTAAAAAAAGAAGGCATAGTTTATTCCCTCCTCTCTCTGTTTCTCTTTCTTTTCCTCTCTCTTCCTCTCTCTTTTGCAGATACAGGATCTAAGTATTTTTAAGTGCAGTAAAATAGCCTATTTTAGAAATGTAGAAAGGGTAAGTTAATGTGTTTTTGATTTAATGTGTTATAAATGTAAATAGGCATGTAAAAGAATTTGATGAAAAACTTTATCTTTTAGTATAATTAGTTCAATAATGGCAATGTATTAATATTGAAATAAAACCACATTTGCTCTTTCTCTGCTACCATTTTGGTGTCCTGGAACATTCACAGTTTAGAAGAAACCACTTCATTTACATCCAAGAGGATTTCTTTTCCAGATAACTGATTTATCCAAATAACATCATCTCTTTCGTTAGTATTACAAGTTATTTTTATTAATTTCTTGTACTTTTTGATTAAGCATTTTTGTGTCATGTTTCTCATCAGAGAAAGAAAATCATATTTAATATTTCTTTCTCCCCATCCCCCATTCTCTGTCATAAGATTAAAGGCCTAGCTAAATGAAAACTTAGCTCAATTCTTTAAGTTATTGACAATATTCTTAACAAGATAAATCTTGTGTTTAAATTACATTTTCTGGTGTAAAGTAACTTTGTCAGTCTTGGAAAATCACATGCATTTTATAGCTATGAGATGTAATATTTCCCTTGACATGGCTGGGTTTATCAGCATTCCAGCAAATAGAGACAGTGATATTGTTGTTGTTCATGTCTTCACATTCAAACCTGTACCTCGGGTTTCCAAGTCACGTGATTTTTGCTATTCTGCCACAATCTACTTTTGCCAAAACATTGCTGATGATAAAATAATAATCATCTTTGGTGACACAGCCCTTCAAGTTTCTCAGTTTGAAGTCATTAAACAAAGACGAAAGAAAGAAAAAATGCTAAAGGTACTGAGAAAAATCTAGTGCTTACAGCTGGTCTCAGCAACTTCAACTTGCGCAAGACCCCGTGTTTGTGAAAACAGCCCAAGAATCTTTGAACAGGATGTAATCATCCTCCTTGCTGCTGAGAAATACTGAAAAAATGACTTCAGCTGCCAAAAATAATAATGCCGTTCACAAGCAGCTCTTCCTATGGCTAAGGGAGGACTAGCCACACATGTGAGTTTCTGCTGGCTTCCAAGGAACAAGCAAGGAAAATGACAAATCCCATCTACCCCACCCTAAAACGCACAGCATCAGAACCCTGTGGGCATCCGGGGCCCATTCCAAAAGGTGCTGACAATGCCAAGGAAGACTCACGTCTACAGAAATCCGAACCGTAAGTGACCCAGAACAAAAGGATTTTATTTGGCAGCAAATCTGTGCTGCCACTTTCTCTCCGTAGCCAAGCCGCCCTGTCTTGTATAGGCAAAGCTGTTAAATACCTGTTAGTCACCAGCCCCAACCCAAACCTTTCTTCCTTTCTTTTTCAAAATATTATCTGGCACATTCTGGGAAAAGACTTCAAGGGCTAGGGAGGGAATATTCGTGAATGATCCTTTAGATAAGTTTCATTAGGAAAACTCTGCACCTACCTCTGTCAAGCCTTGGCTGCTCAGTCCACATGGGCTGGAGGTGGAAAAAAGATCCGGTGTGATGGCTTCTCCAAATTACCAGAAAGAAAGAACCTGGGATGCTTGTCCTTTAAGTGTCTCTAAACATGGCTTGCATAGCTGGATCTCAGCTTATCTGTGCCTTTCGGCTTTCGCTTCCATACATGGATCTGTTCCCAACAGTAACTCCAAGCTGTCGAAAAGAAGCTATCTGGCAGCTCTCTGCTCATCCAGCACACGGATGATAAAAATACACATGTAGAGATCCTTCCAGCCAGGACCATGTCCCACCCCACGGTCCTGCCGCTCTGTATTTTTGCAAATATTCTTTTGTGATTAGCATTTCTACTATTAGGATGTTTACAACACTGCCAATTTCTACCTGTTTCTTACTTAGAGTCTAAAGGAGTGGGTTTAGGTAGCTTTATGAAAATAGAGGCACCATTGTGCTTCCTTACCAAGATCTTTATCCTTACATCTTCTAGTGATATGACGCCTGTGAGACCTGTGAAGTGTTCAGTGAATGAACGACTGAATGTGTACGTGGATGGCTGAGCAAACAGATGACATTTTCATGTGAATGAATGACTGTATACTCAGCATATTTATTTAATTGGGAATGGAGGTTAACACTCTGGATTCTTTGACTTAAAAGAAAAGGTAACAGAGGGTCCAAGTAATCAAAATCCTTAAGAGAGAAGAGGTCAGGTTCTTATTCAAATGTTTTCTCATTTAGGTAATTGTCAAAGTTCCCATGAAGTTACTGCATAGCACATGGTTTGAATTTACAAAGCTTTTCTTTAATGGTAGAAATATAAAATTCCATAGAATACTGCTTATTATATTTGCTCATTGTGAACTACAGTTCAAATGGCATATAAACATGGATAAACCTGGTTCTGCATAGTAGAAGTACTCCCACGGGTTCTTTTATTTTTAAGATGTATCTTTTTCTCCTTCTTTCAGTTTCTTTTTTGCTCCTGTGAGATAAGAAGCAAAAATAATGAGAGACAGAAAGAGGGAATTTCCAAATCATTTTCCATTGATAAATTATTTTTTCAAGATCATTTAAAATCTTCTTGCAGTTTCTTTTGTTTGAATGGTAAAAAATAAATTTGAGGCATACAGGTATAATTAATTTTGATGAGTGGAAAATGGGATATCTTTGCTTGGAATAATCCAGGGGAAAACAGATTAAACAAGAGTGGCAAAAATGTCACAGGTGGTTGTCACAGGTGGTGATGGGTATGCATCTTCTCTATATTATTTTCTCTTTGCACATGTTTAAAATTTCCAGTCAAATATAAAGGAAAAGAAAGTCGAAAGTTAAAAACAGAGTATTAAAAGAAAAGAGATTGAGAATATTCTCGCTGCTCTGACTTTGTAATAATTAGGACAGACTAAACATTCGCTATATTAAGACCATACATGTATCCCCAGGCCTAGTTCTTTCCCTGTGTTTGGTTTTATAAATGTTCCTGATAAAATAAAAATAAAAAAAGAAAAAAAAAGAGAAGAGAAAGTACAAAGCAAACGTATTCATGGCAAGTTTGAACAATTGTAGATTTGAATAAAGAATAAACTGTGAAAAACCACTAAGGTCAGAACAAGAAAGAACAAGCTTTTTTTTTTTTTTAAGATTTAAAACACCCTGACATTCCAAACTCCTCATCCATGCCTCCAATCAGAGCTGTGCTACATGATAATAATGTATAACTAATGAAAATTAAGATATGATATTTGAAAAATTAAGTTAATGTAGCTCAGTGCTAGTCATGGCAGGTAGTAGCCTTACCCAGGATCCATTCAGTATCCTCTCTTCCTTTGCCAGTTTCAACTTTATAAGGCCTGAAGCAAAATTCTTTTTTCCTTTTGTCCCTTGTGACACAGTTCTGGCCAAACAGGTGTCAATAGGAGTCCCTAAAAGGGACTTTAGGAAGAGTTTTTATTTCTCTGTTAATAAGAGGCAGGTTCAGCTTTCGTCCTTTTCTCCCCTAGCTCCCTTCAACCTAATTCATTCCCAGAGACTAAACTTGAAGCCTGGAGAGGCAGCAGTCATTTGGTGACTAGACAGGGATAAGAGCAAAGATAAGCGCCTGTGTGGTAAGGTGGATGGGGCAGACAGAGTGACTGGACTTCTGTTCTTGCCAGGATCAACCCTGAGCTTTCCCTCTGGGCTTCCTGTCACCTGAGAATAAAATAAAAATGTAATTAATACAAAAAATGGAAGCTAGATTAAGAACTCAAGACACAAATTCAAAGGCTGTTCTCTGGTCCTGGTCCTGGCCCTATAACTTACTCATTGTGTGAGGTTGATTGTGTCACAGATTTCTATCTCCTCTCTGAAAGTCAAGAGAAGACATGATTTTCCTAGCCTACAATTATCCTATGAATTGTTTGTGATACAGCTTCATGAATTGTAAGAGATTACATCGATATAAAGTATTGCTTATTGAATATGATACAGGTGCTGCACTGTGAAGCCACAGTTAAATATAACAGGGCTTGGAAGTCTGTCTTCTGTTCAAAGAAGAATTTGTGGATGCTTACTTTGATGGGCTTAACTTCAAACCTCCTGGGGATTCTTCTCTACAGTTAGTAATATCCAGGTACAGGACTCTCTTATATACCAAGATGTGTTTGCCCACTTTGTGTCGGCCAAATGGAGCTGATATGTTCTTGGTGAGGTTGTCAGTAGTAACAGGACAGTTCCTGCTTCACGTCAGTAGGCAGAAGGCTCCAAATACTCACTCTGTTCTGCTCTTTCTCAACTGTTGGGGGTGCTGTGGGGTTCATGTTAGGAAAAGATCTTCTGATAAAGAGATTGAAGTCTTCTCATGTTTCCCAAGAAAGAGGTTAAATTGTTTCCTCTGAGTCTTGTAAATGAGGAAATCAGGATTTAATGTACTGACGTATATTTATCTAACTCTGTGGGGAAGGATACAGTTCGGTTCACCTGAGCATATGAATTCACTATTGGGAACATTAAAAGATTAGTTTATTTTTATTAGTTATTAGTTTATATGGAAGGCAGACAGAGACAGACACACAGGTATACAGAGATCTTCCATTTGCTTGTTCATCCCCCAAATGCCTACAACAGACCAGGACTGAGCCAGGCCAAGACCAGGAGCCAAGAGCTCTACCTGGGTCTTTACATGGCTGTCCCTGCGTCTCCAAATGCACTCCCCAAATGCCTGTCCCAACAGGCTGTTTTTTTCAATGGGATGTCCTGAACCTTCCCTCAAAACTGTGTACACAAATACACATGCACTTCATCTTAGCTGGGAGAACGTAACCTGTGTTATAAGATTTGGCTCAGTGACTCTTCCCTGCCAAAGTCTTCACTTACACAGAGAGAGCAGGAGAGGCAGAGAGAGAGAGAGGTGTTTTCCATCCTCTGTTTACTCCCCAGATGGCCACAATGGCCGGAGCTGCGCCAATCCAAAGCCAGGAGCCAGGAGCTAGGAGCGTCGTCTAGGTCTCCCATGTGGGTTCAGAGGCCCAAGAACATGGGCCATCTTCTACTGCTTTCCCAGGTCATATCAGAGAGCTGGATCAGAAGTCGAGCAGCCAGGACTCGAACCAGCTTCCATATGGGATGCTGGCACTGACTGCAGAAGGCAGCTTCACCCGCTACGCCACAACATTGGCCCCCCACCAGGTCTTCTAAAGCACATAAAAAGGGACTTCAAAAAATTCAGATAAATGGAATTAAAATATAAAGCTTGGACTGGCACAGTGAGTTAAGCTACCAGACACCTGTCAGGGTCCTAGCTACTCTGCTTCTGACCCAGCTGCATATTAATGCTCTTGGGAAAGCAGTGGAAGATGGCTCCAGTGCCTGGGCTCTTGCCACCCATGTGGGAGACTGGGATTGAATTACTGGATCCTGGCTTCCTACTGACTGAGTCTCCATTTGGGGAGTAAACCAATGGATGGAAGATCTTTCTCTTAGTCATTCTACCTTTTAAATAAATGAATAAATAACTAAATCCTTTTAAAAGATATGCTTATTTTATGCAAAACATTTTTTGAAATCCATGCATAGTTTTTTTTTTTTTCATGGTATATATTGTATGGCGTACTGTACTTTTTCCCCTTTTCCCTCTGGCTTTGGCCATTAGACTATCATTATCATCCTCTAGAATTGTTCTCTTCTTTACATCTTAGACTTTACTAATGTGTTCTTTGAGGATAAGAATTCTGTATCAATCATCACTTTGCACACCAAAGTACAGTATTTAGAATGTCATGGATACTCAATAAATGCTTGGTGAATGAATAAGACTAGTTACTATTTATGAGTAATTACTATGTGATGGGAACTGAATATAATACATGCTTTTCTCATTTGTTCTTAGAATGAAAATGAAATTGCACTTAAATATTCTTTTTTGATAACTGTTTAGCACAAGTGTGAAGACATGTTAGAGTAGTTGAATAATTTTATGAGACTAAGTAATAAATATATTACTTAGAGTTGAAATTATTCATTTATTCATTCAATTATCCAGCAAATATTTTTTCTTCTTTTGCTTTTCATGGTTTGGGTGTCATAGCTAAGAATCTGTTGTGAAATTCATCGTTACAAAGATTTAATTCCGTGCTTTCTTCAAAGAACTGTACAGATTTAGCTTTTAGATTTAGGCATTTGATCCTTTTATAGTTAATTTTCACATATGAGATAGGATACGGTTTCAATTTCAGTCTTTTTCATGTAGGTATCTAATTGTCAAAGTAACTTTAGTTGAAAGATGAATTGACTGTCCATGTTGACAATAAATTGAACAGAGATGTATGGGTTTACTTTTGAATGCTCAGTTCTATTCATTGACCTATATTTGTTTGTTTATCCTTTATACCAGCTCCATGTTGTCTTGATTATTGTAGCCTTGTATCAAGTTTTCAAGTTTTGAAATCAGGAAATACGAGTTCTCCATCTTTGTACTTTTTCAAGACTATTTCAGGATCTTTGCAATTCAATATGAATTTTAAACCCAGATCATCAGTTTTTATATTAAAGTCATCTGGGGTTCCAAATGAGATTATTTGTAGTCTGTATAGATCATTTTAGGGAACATTGCCACCTTAGCAGTGTTAAGTGTTCTGATCTATAAACATGAATAATTTCCTATTTATTTGGATTTTAAAAAAATTATTTAGACAGTGTTTTTAAATATAAATATGAATATAAACATTGCACTTCTTTTGTTAAATTTATTCCTTGATATTTTATTCTTTTGATGTATTCAGAAATGAAATTGCTTTGTTAATTTCACTTTCAGATTGTTCACTGCCATTGTATAGAAATACAAGTAATTTCTATATGATGATTTTGTATTCTGTAATTTTAATTTATTTATTAGTAGTAATAATCTTTAAGAGATTCCTTAGGATTTTTAATATACAAGATCATGTCATCTGCAAATAGTGTTTTTTTCCCAAGGGTTGCAGTTTTATTTATTTATTTATTTATTTCAAAGTCAGAGTTACACAGAGAGATGAGAGGCAGAGAGAGAGAGAGAGAGACTGAGAGAGAGAAAGTCTTCCATTTGCTGGTTCACTCCCCAATTGGCTGCAATGGCCGGAGCTATGCCCATCCAAAGCCAGGAGCCAGGGCCCAAGGACTTGGGCCATCTTCTGCTGTTTTCCCAGGCCATAGCAGAGAGCTGGATCCGAAGTGTAGCAGCCAGGACTTGAACTGGCGCCCATATGGGATGCTGGCACTTCAGGCCAGGGCATTAACCTAATGTGCCAGTGCTCCGGCCCCAATAGTATTAGTTTTACTTCTTTCTTTCTTAAGTCTTTTTATTTTTTTTAATATTTATTTATTTTACTAATTGCCTTGTCTAGAACCTCCAGTACAATACTGACGTAAGTAGCTAAAGGAAACATCCTTGTCTTGTTCCTAATTGTATGAAAAAACATCCAGTTTTTCACTATTATTGTAGGAGTTTTCTAGTGTGCTCTTTATTCTGATAGGAAATTCTCATCTACTCCTAGTTCATTTTTTTCTTTTTTTAAAAAATCATGAGGGTATTGTATTTTGTTAAATGCTATTTTAGCATCTACTGAATGATCATAAAATGTTTTTACTCTTTTGATATGATGTTTATGTAAGTTAATTTTTAGAAGCTAAATCAAATTTACCTTTTCCCATTTGGTCATGGTGTACAGTTCATTTATTGCTGAACTCAGTTTGTTATTATCTTACTGATGGTTTTTATTTGTCAATATTCTTAAGAGATATGGTCTGTAATTTTCTTTTCTTGTGCTTTCATAATCTGTTTTTTTTTTTTTTTCTTTTTTGTATCAGAGTAACAGTTGCATCATGTAATTCACAGGGAAGAATCTTCATCAGTCTGGATTTTGGAAGAGTTTGTGAAGAATTTTAATGAATTCTTCATTAAATGCTTGATTAAATTCATCAATGACATAATCTGGGTCTTGGATTTTTGCAGAGTTTTGAATACTAATTCATTCT